ATTAAAATTTTTAAAACACAAAATATGGTTCTGCAGTAACAAAGATTAAGTTACAATAAAAAAATTAGAATACTAATCTATATACAAGGACAATTAACTGAAAAATTATGAAGACTTTATTTATTCACTTATATTGTAAATACATTTAAAAAAAATAAAAATAAATAAAATATGCCTTATGAAAGCTAAATAGGGAAAAATCTAAACGCCACACAAATGTCAAAGGATTCATGACTACAGATATTTCTATTTGCATATTTTTATACTTTATTCTTCTTTTTTAAAAACATTTCAAATTTTCTCATCTTTAAACATGCTATTTTTCATAAAACGTTTTGAAAATAGGTGTATTAAGTTGATGCATAATCTTTTGTACAATGTTAGGGAAATCTCAGAAGTGTCTTTCAAGATTATTCAGCTCTTTATTGCTTATGTAGAACATTTTACAAGCCTTTAGAAAAAAATCAGAATGCCTGTTTCTTATTGCAAAAGTCGTTTTCATACAAGAGTCACTGGCAATAAAAAAATTGGATTTATAACAATAATAGAAAATGAAGCATATCATGATTCAATTTAGAGTAGCTTTTCACATTTTAATCTAAATGAAAACTGATGAGGAAGAATTTCTTTCCTGAATTTGGTAGGATACAATGGCAATTACAAATTACTGAAACCTAGTCAAATTTTTACTGTACAATGACCAGTAAGCAATTGCCTCACTTAAATGACATGTTGAAAGATAAAATAATAATTTTCTGGGTAAAGCAGTTGACTAGTGACTTAGCAATATGACTGATTTGCTCCATCTAGCAAATGCAATGGAGTAAGCAATCAGGAGTTGGTATGGAAGTTATTCCACATAATATTTGTTAAACCTGTTACCTTCCAACCATAACTGATTTTATCGCATTTGTAATGATACAGAGGGAATTAAATAAAAGCAGCTAAATTAATCTTGAAAAATATAAATTTCCTTTTCTAGAGGATTTTAAAAAATTAAATATCTTTTCTTTCAAATACTTTTTATCTTGTTTTCTACTGTGTAGCCAAGTGATGCATTTGATGTTAATTATAACTGTCCTCATTATAATAAAATAGAAAACTGGCATTTGCCAAAAGACAGAAAAAATACAGTTGATTTAGTTTTGAGAAAGAATACATGAATCTTCTATGGCTAGGGAGTTAAAAAGAGGATTTATGAGTAACAAGATCAGGATGGGGAGGCTGCACTGATAGACCTGGGAGAGAAAGAGAATAAGCATGAAAAATACACATTACTTATTAATTAAGGTTATTTATATTGCTTTGTCAGATTACAACCAGCGGGCTTATCTATAAAAATAAAATATAACCTGGCTAGATATTTACAGTTCAGCAGGAGAATTGTATACTGTGAAGATAATTTACAAACTTTGTTTTTAGAGTCTGATTTATATAATATGTAAACTTTAAGTCATTTTTCTTACAAAGGAAAAAGATTCACCAGACATAAAGTAACTAGGAAAACAAAGTTTAGAAAAAAAAGATTATAAGCTATAAATAATACTATTTAGCAAGAGATTTTTTTTTTTTTTTTTTTTTTAAGCATTTCACCCCAAGCAAGGTGGGAAGCCACTAGGATGCAAGGGGTTACAGAAAATAGGAAGATCAGATAGGAGTGATAGAAGAAAGAATGAGGGTAGTAGATAGATTAAGGCAACTGGAGATGTCGATTGACATTACACTTGAATAGCTGGAGATTATAACTCACAGGGAAACAGGAGAAGGGAAGAGAGTTCCACAGGCGAGAGGTGCGAGACATGAAGCTATTAGAGTAGAAGAGAAAATCCTACATTTAGGAGTTTCGACACTGAAGGGGTGAGAGCGGGATGCCAGCCTCGTAGGGCGCTTGAACTCATGTAGTCTGGGAACCAGCAGATGCAGCTCCTCGGAGCAATTTCCATGAAAGTATTTGTAGAACAGACAGAGGGAGGCGGCAATTAATCTGTGAGAAAGTGACTGTAGACAAAGACACCAGGGCAGGGCCAACCATATTGCATATCCGCTTCTGGAGCCTATCAAGAACCCCGAGGCAAACAGAAGGGGATGAACTGGTAATAAGATAACTATAAATAACTCATGATATTTAAAACAATTTTTTGTCATTAGAAGTGCACTAATTAATGCAAATAGTTTACTAATACTGATTTAGCTCCGATTTAACTCTGGAAATATAAATCCATTGATTTATACTCCTTTCATCTAGCTTGGATATTGAATGGAAACATTTATACAAGAATATTAATAATTATATTGAATCACTTGTTTATGCTTGAAAACCCAGTTATGACTTACTACATTACTACCAAATATAGAATTATACAAAAATTACATGTAACGTAAACAAAGATTTTAAGAAACCTGACTTCAAACTCAACACAAAGCAATAATAAACAGAAAACAAAGGAAATAGTTATTATGATGTTAATATTACAACCTTATATTGTATTTTATCTCTTAAGAAAAAATCCTTTGGCTAAATAAATCAGCAAACAACAATAACATTCTACACTTATCATTATATCTTTATTCTAGTCTTAAATATAATAAAGATAAATGAATAATAAGGAAGAAGTTGAAAATAACATACCTGTACAATAGAAAAGAAAAAAATGAAGAGACAGAATCCAGTTGTGTTCTTAAAGTGAAGGCAATTAGATATAGAGTGTCAAGAATTTTGATAGATTTCCTGATTTAGAAATGTTAGAGATGCAGTGAATTCAAAATTTTGGAGAGTCAAAGACAAAATTGTTTATTCAAGAGGAAACACAGAAAAGCATGCATATTTGTAGTGCACTAAACATAAAATATTTGTCTGAGCCTCAAATTCAATATACAATTCATTAAATAATTACCATTGATCAGATAAAACTACTTGTTAAGCTACTGTGTTAAATACTGAAGAGTTACTTGGAGTCAAATAAATTTAATTATACATGGTATAAATATTTGTAAAAACTAAGTTATCAGAATTTATAAGGTGTTCATTATATACTGGTTTAAGGTTTGTCTTAGATGAGACTCACTGATCATACATTGGAGACATGAGACATCATCCTAGATGACAGACATTATGGCACCAAGCTATCACATCATAGTGATATTATAGATTTGTTTGTAAATACTAATTTAATGTTACAGAATAAGTATTAGCTACAAGAATAAGGTTTCAAAGAAAAGCCATTTGAATCTTTTTCTTGGTGACTGTAGTACATGAACATAATCTATTGAGTATATATAATTTGTTTTAATATGAAGGGTAGACTCACACATATAGAATGCTAGTCTACTGCTCCTTCACTTACCAAAACTTATTGCATTGTAATAATCTTTTGATTAATTGTAATTTGTGCAGAAAAGTTAAGTTGCTAAGTAACAAGCCAATACAGAACAAAGATAAGTGAACAAAGTAAATTATTAGTTATTTTAAAATGCCATTTTAGATGAACATTCCACAAGAAACAGTAAAATGTCAGCTGTAGAAATTTATTATTTTGCTTGTAGAATTTTTTAACACTCCTCTCCTTCTTCCTCTCATAGTAAAAACTTTGATAGCAGAAAAAGGTTAAATGCTCTTAATGAAGGCAAGCCCCAGTGAAATACAAAAAGAAAATTTTAAATCTTTTCTGAACTGTCAGATGTAATTCAGTTTGGCATTTTTTTTAATCCAACATCTGATCAAATTCAACTAACATGTACTGTTTGCCCAGTCTGCCAATCATTATTTCCATAACTTTTTATTATAGAATAACATTCTTTTATTGGACAAACTACCAAAAACACTTTTTTTTAGTAAGAGTAACTTTGTAAGTTTTGTAAAATTCTGTGTTATCAAGTCATCCTTCTGCTTTCTGAAAATCTTAAATTATTTACTCATGAAATTAGAAAAGAAATTGTTTTATAGTACAGTGTAATCATTTATCAGTTCTATTACAATTAAATCCAGATTTCTATTAAGAGTAATTTCTGAACTCTTTATTAATTTGACAATACTTTTTAATAATTAAGCTATATAGTTTGCATGTGAATATAAAAACATTTATGAAATCAATATTTGAATAATATTTTCAATAAAAACAAAATAAATAGAATAACATGTATTTTTTCTTTTTTCCTCAGTAATTTTATAATTTTAAACTTAATAGAGATTAAATTTAGATTTTAAAATGGGTAATTTTTAATTTCAAATTTTATCATATAATTTAATACTTATTAGTTAGAATAAATTCTACTTTAAAGCATTTAATAGTTATTATAACCTTACTTTATTGTCAAGTTTTTTGAATTTCGTATACTTGTATTTTGATTGGACATTTCAGCTTATGTAACAGCATTTCCCCTTGCGATGGGTGGTTAATTAATTTGAACCTTTTAAAACCCTTTATTCTACATTCAACATCATCACTTGATAAGACACCAGAGGTGTTGAAACGAAATGGCTATTTTTGTAGCGATTTTATAACATATTTATGTTATAATTTTTAATAATATATATATATATATATATATATATATATATATATATACACACACACACACATTTTATTAAATATATTGTATGATGCTTGGCTTATATCTAAATTAAAATCAAGTAACCAAGACATCCTATTAAGATAACAGTACTTGAAAACATTGCTAAACTTACCTCTGCAGATTATGCCAGTGGGAAGAACAATAGTAAGGAAAGATTAGCAGAGCATAAACATTTCTTATTTATTGACTCAGTCTAATGTGTTTGTTTACAGAAAAAATGCTCACAGCTATGAGAGAAACAGCAAAAGCAAACAGGAAAAAAAGCTATGTCAGATTAACTTCCTACCTATCCCAACTGAAATAAGTATTTTGCTTATAGTACGTCAAGCTTTTAGGAATTTTTTTTTAAAGCAGTAAATGCAAACAGAGACTAAAATCCTAAACAAACATATTTATAAAATTAAGCAATAAGTCAAAGCAAAACTTACTTTGAGCCTTAGCTCCTGGTGCTGGTATTCCTGATTTAGGCTGGGGTAACCCAGAAGGCTTAGAAATTTTGGACGGAGCCTTCAATCCTGAGGGCTTGGGGGGTGCGGCCATCTGCAAATGAAATAGAATATGTGGTATATTAAGGTAGATTACCACAAGAGAAAATTAGAAACTGACACAAGCTGGTAATAGAGTAAACATCTACAAAAGTGTGTGTTATACACACAGAGCTGAGAATAGTATGAAAATATACAGCTCCGTATGTGTAACATCTGTATATGAGGTAAACCAGTTGTGTGCACATGTACATACACACAATAAGATGAATGCACAAATATGAGTAAAGGGGATCAGTTATTAATAAAACAAGTTGAAATAAGCAAAGCATTACTGAAAGATAACAAGGTACTAAAGATAATTTGCAGGCATCATCAGATACAGAAAAATATGATCTGAGTAAAGGTGTGCATGTGTATATATATATATATATATATATATATATATATGAATTAATTTTTTTATTTCTAAAATATTTGCATCATTTAGATGCCATGTCCCTTCAGGACATTGGCAACTATGGCTCTCCACAACTTCCTGTCTTTTGTAGATAAATTTTATCTTTTCACCACCTCTTCCAAACCCTGCTTCTCCATCCATTCACTCAAGCTCACCAAGTAGGTTATGCATCATTTTCCTGTCACTCTTGCCTTCAATCTGTCCTGAGTATCATTTCTGCATTATATGTCCTAAAAATTGCAACTGTCCTTTCCTGTTGTTAAATATAAGTGTCCTTTTTGTTTCAACTGTCTCTAGAACTTCCTCATTGCTCACATGTTCGGTCTATGGTATTCTCAACATTCTTTTGTAGAACCACATTTCTGGTGTTTCAAGTCTGTGAGGAGATTGTCCATCATTCAGTGCCATATAGGAGGACTGAGAAAATATTTGCATCCAATCTTAAAATACTCTTAAAGGAAAAAAAAATTTTTTTTAAAAATAAAAAAAAAATGAAGAAAGAGGATGTCCCAGGTTAAGGAAAAAGACCCCCACCACCACCACTAAAAAAAAACATCAACCTAAAATATTAATTTGTGGATCTGTTATGGAGTATATAAGGCATCCCTGGCAACACAAATGAACTAGGCAAGACACCTTAAATAAAGAACCTGAAGTCTGTTGAAGTCAGTGAAGGAGAATTTCTAGTGATGTCATAGCAAGTAGCCTAAGTGAGACATAATATTATAACTGCGAGTTCCAGCAGTGGTGATGAGGTGCACATGATAACAGTGATGACGAGAAATTAGAAGGAAAAAAAAAAGAGAAAGGAAAAGGGAAAAAAAGAGAAAGGAAAAAAAAAGACATTCTTTAAATATGGAAGAATAATAATTCATTGCATAAGTAGCAAAAATATAGCAACAGCAGTTGTTATAACTCCAGAAACAACAAATTTAATTGAAATAATATAGAAGAAAACGGAAAATCCCCAAGTTCTTTCACTCCCAACGCAGTGGCAAATGCCATATCTGAATTCACATACAATTCAGATGATGGAATTACCTTTTCTGCTTATTTTAGAAGAAAGAGCAAATTTTCAGAGAAGAATGCAGTCTGTGAAGACAAGAAAAAAAAAAACAAGACTTTTGTTGAGAAAGTTAGCACTGGTAGAACATGAAAAATATTGTAATTTTGTACTACTAGTGAGAAAAATTCAATACTTGGAAGTGTATGAATCTGAAAAAAGATGACAACAAAGGTTTTGTCACATATACTGGAATTGTTAACAAGGAATGTGAAAGATTTAAATTAAACAAACTGACTCCAGATATGTTTAAAGGGTTAATTTTTGTTCAAGGCTTAATGGCGGAAAAAAGACACAGAAATATATGCTAGAATTCTAATGAAACTTGAACAGAATAAAAAACTAACACTACAAGAAATATCAGATGAATGTCAGTGTAGCGAGAGAATACACTTACCTCGCTGGAGAAAGCAGGCACATACCAGTTTGGCATGTAAATCCAACATGGCTGACGTAACGAGGGAGCAATGATATCATGTATGGTCGCAAGCAGTGGCCATTTGCAATCAACCCACAATGCATGTGGGATGATACTATTTTTAATATTATCGGTCATTTGCATGTGTGATTGGAAATAGTAATAAATAGTGGATTGCACAGTCAGATTGGCAATGAACTCATATAGTATGGAGTGTTTGGATTAGAGTGCAGAGAAGTTAGGCAAAACTTCAGACAGAGAATCCTAAATCTAAGGTGCAATATGGAAGAAATTGAAGAATCCACATACATGCAAGCTAAAGAAAATGTGGAAAAAGAAAAATTAATCCTTGTTTCAGATGCAGAAGGTTACATCTTGGAGGTGACTGTCCCTTTAAGAATTTAAAGTGCTACAAGTGTGGAAAACTAAGACACAGAAAGTCACATTGTAAAACAACATCAAAAGAACAGTTGTGACAGAGAAAATAATTAAAGAAAACTAAAGAAAATTTGTGTATGTGAAAATTAATAATGTTTTTTTTTTTTTTTTTTAAGTATTTCACCCCAAGCAAGGCGGGAAGCCACTAGGATGCAAGGGGTTGTAAAAATGCAATTAGATACTGGTAGTGATATCACAATAAAAGTGACATGTAAAGAAAATGGAAAACCTTTGAAAATTTTCAAAGATCTTTGAAAATTGCATGCGGTGTGTTGGGAAAGAAATTATTTTTTATTGGTGAAATGATTTGTAATGTTTCATTTCATAACATGTGTGTAAAAGCTAAGGCTTATGTGTTAAAAAATACTACAAACTTACTTGGTACTGAATGGATGGAATTATTTGAATTGTGGGATTTACCTATAAATATTTATTGCAAAAATGTAAGTGAACAAGCTACCAGTTTTAAAAAGGACAGTGTGAAAATTTAAAGGAAAAATGAAAAAATGTTTTCTAGATGTTTTTTCAGATGAGCTGGGTCAGTGTTCCAAAATCAAAGCAAAATTTCAAATGAAAAAAGGGTCGACATCAGTGTTTAAACTGAAATGTTTGCAGTATTGAATGAAGAATTAGACAAACTTGGAAAAAAAAAAAAAAAAAAAACATAGGTGTAACTGAAAAAATTGACCATTCAAAAATCGGCAGCACCAGCAGTGTATGTGAAGAAAAAAAATAAAATAAAATTTGTGTTTGTGTGGATTTTTTGACAGAATTAAACAACTGTTTAGAATCCCATAACTACCCATTACCAAGTCCAGAGGAAATTTTTGTGAATTTAAATGGCAGAAAAATTTTTCCCAAGCTGGATCTTTCTGAAGTGTATTTGCAAATACAGGTCAAAGAAGAATGTTCAGAGTTAATAACTATAAATATGCACAAGGGATTTTATAAGTTCAACCAACTTCTTTTTGGGATAAAAGTCTCCAGCTATATTTTCAACAAGCTATGGATACTATGCTTGCAAATTGTGATTTTTATCTGAAAGATATATTAATTAAAAGTGTATCTTAAAAACAACATATCAGGTAGGTGAAAAGAGTTTTTGAAAATATATGTGAGTGCAGGTTAAGAAAATACTAACATCAGACTTATCATTAGCACACTATGATCCAAAAGCATGAATCATATTGGCTTCAGATGCTAGTGAGTATGGTATAAGAGCAGTAATTCTATATAAATATGATGATGGTAATATGAAAGCCATCACACATGCTTTGCATATGCTACTACTGGCAGAAAAAAACTACAGCCAGATCAAAAAAAAAAAAGGTGTTAACAATAATATTTGCAGTGAAAAAAAAATTTAAATTTATACACAGAAGGATTTTTTTGTTTACAGACAGACCACCATCCTCTATTATCAATTTATTGTTTTAAAAAAAAAAAAAGAAAAAAGGAATTCCTATGTATACAACAAATAGATTACAATGCTAGGGAACCATCTTATTGAATTATGATTTCAAGATGGAATACCAACCATCCCAAGAATTAGGACGTACTGATGGTCTATCAAGATTGATACCAAAAAATACTGAACCATTTGATGACACTGTTATTGCAGTGTTAAAAAGCAAAATAGAAATTAAAAATATATTATGCAATGTAGTACTCAAACTACTGGCTACCCTGGAAGAAATAAAAGTAAAAGCAGCACAATACATGCTTATTTCAAAAAAAAAAAAAAAAAAAAAAAAAAAAAGAGGCTAAAAGAAAGAAAGAAGGTTAGATGATTTTTAGAATGCAATTAGAGTTGAATGCTTACTTGCTATGTGTTAGAGTACTGATGTTTGCACAAGATCTAGTAATACCTATCCTATTACAAAAGTGGATATTAAATGAATTTCATAGACAGGGGCATAGGATGGTGCATTAATTGCAGGGTCAATTCCATGTTGTCCAATACTGTTGTGGGTTAACAGTCATTGGTTGCTGTCCACTTCAGTCATAACCTTACTCTGCCCATGTTGTATTTCTTGATCACAGAGCTGGTAAGGATCAATTAATCATCAGTATCATAGCGCTGGGCTATGATTAAAAAAAACAAAAAAAAACAAAACAGAAATGTCTTTTTGCTGACATAACAACAAAAAAGTCTTCAGGTCAATTTTCAGTTTGGTTTATGTAGTTCTTGGTATAACAAAACTTAACCCTTCCCACTAAAATCTCTAGTGACACTTTTACTTATTGGTGTGAATTTCTTGGAACAGGGCTCAAAGTTGGAGATTCTCTCAGCAGTAGGTCATGTGGGTTTCAGCAGCTCCTTCACCCCTGTCTTGTCTCAACTCTAACTCCAACTGCCTAAGTCACTCGAGTGCTTTGACTGATGCAAAATTGGCTGACAGTGTTTGGAAATTTGGCATTTCCCCAGGTTTCTGTAATGATTATAATAAAGGTCCTTTGTTGTTTGGTTTGTAATATTATCTCTCCATATTTGGGAGATCCCTACTTTCTATAGGTAGTGGTTGCAGATATTTGCCCGCCTGTATAACTAATTCCTTCTCTTATCTATGCCTCACACTATTACTTCCTAATGTGCAGAGATAATTTTTCCATCTCTCTTGGTATCTCATCTAAGTCTGCCACCGCAACTGTTTCTTTGACAACTGCAACTTTCAA